GTGCCGGGCACTTTTTTCCAAGGTCTGGGATTTGCCATGAGTATGGTCACATTAGATCCGAGCACTGCACAGTCCCTGCAAACAATTTGCGGGATAAAATGGAATGGACATCTGAAGGAAACTGCAGGGAGCCCGCAAGACTTGCAAGGATACCGCAAGGCTATCTGACAATTGCCAGGCTGTCGCACAGTAGCCGGAAGATGTTTGTGCGGCCGCCGTGTGATGGGCGGGATATATACGTAGCCTGTACGATATTTCGCATTCTATATGGTGTGTCTATATAGGGAAGAACACAAGTCAACACCAAAACAACCGTACGATGCCACCGGGAGCCATAAGATAATCTTATGAAATCCTTGCAGGACACTTACGGGAGAGGCAAGAAAGACAGAGTAGAAGAGAGGGAAACTTTCCAAACAATGATTAAGAGTATGCAAGAAAGAAAGAGTACTAGAACACTGACAGGTCAGTAAGGGCCCCGTCTTGTGGCAATATATCCCCCATAATCATCAAAAAACAATCTGCCCATATAGCTGAGCCTGACGTTTGATATTTGGACTTCAAAAAGAATCGCAAGGAAGCAAAATATACATTTTACATGTACTAAGATATGAGTCTTGTTTCCTTCCACCTCCATATTTGCTGGGCTAACAGAAATATAAATTCTGGTGCAATACTCATTTGTTAGCTTTGATTGGTTTTATTTCACCTTATATACCTTCTCCTTCATGAGCCATGGTCAAAGTCAGAGATCCACTTTGACTTTGACCTTTGGACCCAAATGACCTTGACCATTAACCCAATGACCCTGATCTTTGGTCAGTTGACTTATTCTTTAATTCTGACTAACTTTGCTTCTTAATATCATAACAAAATGTTCATCAGTGAAAAATACAAAACTTGACCTTGACCCTTTGGACCCTGTAACCTGGACCTACGGTCAGTTGACTGTGCTAAGTTCTGAACAACATTGCTTCATAATGTCATGACAAAATGTTCATCAAGGAAAAGGTACAAAATTTAACCTTCACCTTTGACACAGTGACCTTGACCTTTGGTCAATTGACTCCTTGTTGAATTCTGAGCTACATTGCTTCAAAGTGTCAGCGAAATGTTCACCAGTGAAAAGATACAAAATTTAACAATGACATTTGACCCAATGACCTTGACCTTTGGTCAGTTGAATCCCTGTTTAATTCTGATCAACTTTCCTTCATCATATCATAACAAAATGTTCAGTGAAAGGATGCAAAATTTGACCTTGACCTTTGAATCTAATGACCTTGACCTTTGACCTCGACTTTTTACCTCAGTGTCTCTTTGTTTAATTCCGAACAACTTTGCTCCATAATGTCATAGCGAATTGTTCACCAGTGAAAAGCTACAAAATTTGACCTTGACCACTGACCCTTTGACCTTGACCTTTGGTCAATTGACTCCATGTTTAATTCTGATCAAGTTTTGCTTCATAATGTCGTAACAAAATGTTCATCAGTGAAAAGATGTAAAATTTGACCTTGACCTTTGACCCAAATGACCTTGATCTTTAACCTTGACTTTTTACCTCAATGTGTATTTTTGTGAACTGAACATCTTGACCAAGTTTCATATACATCGGACAATAAATACCAAAGTTATCAGCCAGGAACAAAATTTGTGGACGGACAGACAGACAGACAGACAGACAGACAGGAACAAAATTTGTGGACGAACAGACAGACAGAGTGATTACTATAGGGCACCCGTATTTCCAATACAGGGCCCTAATAAGAGACAGAAACGTTCACAAGCAATGATAAGGGGAGGCAATAAAGTAAGAGTAGAAGAGACCTGATATATTTATACAGAGAGTTGATTTTGTTTTTAACATGAACAGAAATATTATTCAAAGTGACAAAAAACAATAAAACCACCTTACTCAATATCTAGCATACAGATTTCAGACTAAAAAGGATTTGAAACTAGCACCTCTGATTCTTAACAAGGAAAATGAAGAAATTTTAGCACACTGACTCCTTTGAGCCCCACCCTACAGCCCTTGGGGGTAGGGCTGGCTCAAAATTTTCAAAGTATCAAACTGTCAATTCAAGGTTATAATTCCAATCAAGTTATTAACATGTAATATT